TGGAAATACAATTCTCACTATCCTTTCTAGTTAGAAATCACCATCAGCTCTTCTGTCCAAAATGTGCAGTCACACAGAATTATATACAAGCACAAACACTGGCTATGTTGTCACCACGAAGATACTCTGTAAGGTCACATTCTCAAGAAGGGGACAGAAAGCTTTTTTTCCCTCCTCTTTGTGCCTTTCCCCACTAAGGGAGAGGCTATAAGAAGCAGGTAATGGTCTTCTCTCTACCTTACATGATGAGATTCCTTTATTTGCTCCCCATCACCCTAAATTCCTCCCCCTCAAATGGCCTCCACAAAAGCTTTAGCAAAATTTTCAGTAGAAAACTTCCTTTTGCTTATGCAAAGGTATCTTGCTGCTCTGCTTTTAATAAAATCTTCACTTGTCCTGCTTAATTTATTCAGACCCACCCTACAGAGAAGTTTCCTGGGGTTGTCTGTTGTATATACAGCAGCTTATGTGACATTGTTTATAAATAAGGGCCTATGTACTTCAGGGATACTATTATGAGACAAATAATACTAATAATATATATGGTAATATGAGTTTTGTATTGATTATCGTATTTGTATTGTAACCAAGTGTAGTGAAACAAAAGGCATGAAGAAAAATGAAAAATAAAGTCTCATTACTGGCTTACAAGCTGTGTGGTCTATGTTACAATGTTTCTGAGTCAATGAGAAGCTTCAGGATGTAACAAGAGTACTGTACTTTGACAGGCAGGACGATATAGGCGCAAACGCTGCCTGTGATATTTAAAACTAGTGAGACTATGGGAAAATTATGACCTCACCTGAGCCTCAGTTTCCTCATGTGTAAAATGTTACTTCACCAGAGTTATTGTGAGGCTCAAACGACACAGGGTATATAAAGTACTCTGCAAACTTTAAAAGCAAATGTCAATTATTAGAAGTTTAAATTACAGTCAAATAAGAATGATTCAAATCTGGATTTTCAAACATACACATGTGGTTTGAATAATATTATAACACAAGACAATTTTAATGTGGAGGAACCTGGCACTGTCAATTGCACAACTGATAGTGCCAGGTTCTTCCACACTGCAATTGTGGTCACTTAATCCCTCTTCACTTTCTTGGGTGGGCCTCAGTTCCCTTACATATCAAATTGAAGGCTTAAACTAAATGATCTCTTGGGTCCCTTCTACCTCTCGATTCTGTAACCCTGTAACACACTCACGGAACAGCCCCACCAAAACAAAACCATTCTTTACGGGAGACAGTCCCTGGGGAGTTACTCAGTACCTTGGTGGGGCATTCTCCGTGTTGAAGACTATTTTAGCATGCTTCTTTCAAACCAGAGCTACAGAAGACCTAGAGGTACACAGTTTATAAAGTTCAACAAGGTAGTACACCAGATGAATCATTCAGTCAACCAGAAATCAAGAGCTGGGTTTTTTTCTCTCAAAATGATATCCACATTATCATGATTTCTAAATTCTGTCCTACCAATAAGACAGCAGCTGCCCTCAAACAAGGTTTTAAAGAAAGCCAAGTTTAATTGAGATGGCCTTTCAGCATCTCTACCACACACCTGACTTGAAGTTATCCCATCCCTATCTCTACCTTTTCCAGAAAGCATCTTTATGTAGCCTCCTACAAGCAGGCAACATCTCATAATTCAAATATGTCCTGACCCGTTCCCACCTGTCAAAATTAAAAGTCCCATGTCTGATTCTCACAAGATCCTACTAGTTGATCAAAGCTATTCTGGAATTGATTCACTAAGTATTATAAATTTGCATTTTTACAAAGGTCTTCAGTACCTTGATCTAATGGTAAACGTGGGAATATCAAACACCATAACAGTAAAATACTGTGAGGGCAGGAGAGCATTTTAGATATATCTGATACATGGCCTAAGAGATTAAAAATCTTTGGCCAAAAATCTCTCCCCCTAAAATTAAACTTTGTCCAAAACATAGTTTTTAGAAAACCGTAAGGCATTCTAACACAGCACACCAGGAGCAAAAGACATCTCTTTGGAGTTCAACTCCACTGAACAAATATATACTGAAATTTAGTAACAGACTGAAAAGTTTCAGAGTTGGATATTGCTTCTTCTGTTTCTAATAAAGGACCTCCTAATTATTATTTATCTTGACTACTTATATCATTTGGCTTTTAAAAGCTGTTTGGGGAATATATAAAATATCTGTAAGTCAATTTACTAAAACACACTCTAGATTTATACGAATACAATTATAAAACACTCTTTACAGAAAAGGAAAACAGGTAATTTGAAGAATATTCATTGCTCATGGATGAACCATACCAACATGATGAAAATTATACTGCCTAAATTAAGTTATAAATTTAGGGCTATACAACTCACACTACCAAAGGATTACTTTCCAGAGCTAAAGAAAATAACAAAATTCATTTGGAGGAACAAAGTGTCTAGAATCTCAAGAACAGTAATAATAAAGTAGGAATAAAGGCAGAAGGGCACTTCCAGACCTCAAACTGTATTATTAACTTGTAATTATCAAAACTATTTGGTACTAATTTTAAAAAAAAAAGTACATCAATGTACATCAAACAAAAGCACATCAAACTAGAAAAATGAGTCAGAAACAACCAATTCAATAGCCCAGTGTTCAATAAACACAAGAATGAACTTAGGAAAACACTCCTCATTTGATTATCACTACTCAGAAAATGGAAATCTGGCAAAAAAAATCATTATTATAGGTTCAAACCAGGATCTTATGCCATATATTAAGTTAGATAATATATAACTTATATACATTATATATGCATATAATACATAACTAATATATGTTATATATTATATAAAGATACACAAGCTTTAAAGAAAAAAGTTACAGCAATAAAAAAAAATTCAAGGACAACAGAAGGAAATACCTTTCACAACTATGAACAGGGGAGAATTCTTAACCAAACAAAAAAGAGAGATTACAAAGGATAAAATAGACTATTTTTGGTAACATGAAAAGCTTTCATACACACAAAAATGATGAAACTAGATTAAGAAGGGATATAATAATTTGAGAAAAAAATTTTTGCATCAAATATTTCTGATAAGGGTCTGATATCCCAGCTATAGAGGGAATTAAATATAAGACTAAGAGTCATCCCCTAATATATGTACTTAAAGGATATGAACAAACAGTTAACAAACATGAAAAATTGCAAATAAAGCAACTCAGACTTCTCCTCACATTCAACAAACTGGCAAAGATAACAAAAGATGGACCTACGTATTAAAGGGAATACAGGAAAACAGGGAGGCTGACACACTGTTGGTGGATCTATGATGGAGTCTAACTGTTTTGGAAAACAACTAGGAATTACGCAAAAAAAAAAGTGACTTAAATAATGCATACCCTTTCAACTCAGCAATTCAACTGCTAAGCATACAACCCAAAGAGAGGGCTATGACAAAAAGAAAGGTACAAAAAAAATTTATAGCAAAACTTTCTGTTGTGGCAAAGAACCAGAAATAGTGTCCTCCCTTCACCCCAACCCCAAAAAGAGAAAAAAGCAGAAGGAAGGCCAGAAGGAATCACAGACAAGCAGGATAGCTTTGAAAGTTATATGTTACATTTATTATATACTTAAAAAGAAAGCTCTACATAGATTGCAGTTCCATGTACAATCCTCTTCTATTCCACAATGTATATGAAAACGCTCATTTTATTGTGTGTCTGTCCATTTCAAAACTTTAAAAAAAAATGAAAATGACTATGGAGGCAGAATGTCACAGACCCTGCCAAATACAATCAATGTGTCTGTTGATTTTACTCAACTGCTTTTCTTCTCCTGTGACAAGTTAAGGCTTATTGACTAGGAAAAGGGAGATATATTTAGACATGACTGATATCAAAATAAATAAAACTCATAAAAACAATAAAAGTAGATTTCTAAAGTATTAAGATGTCTGCACCTTTAGTCTAAGGAGGCAATATCGTCACTTATCATCTTAATGACATTTTCTCCTCTTTTTGCTCTGGATTTATGGATGATCATTTTAGTTTATACAAGTTAAAAACAATCTGCAAATACTGTTTGCCAGTTTAACTTTTTTAAGTAATTTTTTAAATTGTCCATATCACACTGGTTATGTTTACATTTAATAGACTGGCATCCCTTTCTGGATCTTTGCTTTGGAACTTATGTAGCCTTTCCCAGAATTTCATACTTTAAGGATCTATGATTTGAACACTAAGAAGATTACTAACCCTACCAACACATCAGAAGCTCTCAGTGATTTCACCGCTGTTCTTGAAGGGTTGCTGCGGCCCCAAAAGAACATCACTTTCTGGCTAAGCTGGTGATGAACTTCCCCAACTCGGCTAGGCTGCTTCTTAGTTATTGGACCACAAATGGATACTGGGTCCATAGTCAAAATCCTTCAAGTTTCAACAGGCCCTGCACAACTAGTTAGCAGAGCTAGCTAGCATTGTAATGAAAAAGCATTTGATAACCCATGGTCACATCCTTGCCACAATGAAGCATCAAAGCATAATTTTAGTAAAGGAATTACTTGCAAAATATTCATTCCATGAGCCAGGCACTGAATAACAATGATGATGACATGTTGCACAAGGTAATGGGAGAGATGTATCAGGAAGCTTACCATCTTGGTGGATCACAGAAACATGAATAATAAAATCTAAAAATGTAGTTATCAGCCTGATAGGCCCATGCGTATGAGTTTTTCCACGTAAATTTGTAACACTAATAACTGAAACTCTTTTCTTTGCATGTGTATAAAAGAAGCAAAAAGACAATCTTCTGTGTTTCTAGCTAGTGTCTGTGAAATAACATTCTACCTATTAAAACCCTTTCTGCAGTGGGTGGTTTGTTTAACCAACCTTGCTGTACTAGACAATGTATGCTCATTTTTGAAAAGTTTATGAAAAGAGTCAAGCACGCAGGAAAGCCTAGTTAGTAAAGACAACCACCCCAAATTCTTTATGAAATGTTTTGGTTATTTTTTTTTAATGAAAGTGATGATACACACTAATATCCTGGGTTATAGGAGAAGAAAAGAATAATAGAAAGAGTACATCATAAGACACTATTCCAAAACACAATGGTTTCCCATTTTATTTATGTTTAAGAAGCTACAATTCAGTATGAGTAGACTGACATTTAATAAGCTAAAGATGAAAAAATCTGTTTTCATGTATTTATGCATGAATGTATAAATTTGTATGGATTTAATAATGTTCTCTATTCACATAATATATGCATGAAAGAAAATAAAGGTTGCAAGAGAAGAAAAAATAGTGGTTTATGGTTTCCCTAAAAGCAAATCATTGTCAACATCAATATAACAGATTTTAATTTATAGGGCTCTGATGTACAACAGGAAACATTTTGGACTTTGTAAAAGTTCAGTGTATCCACATACATCTCAAGGTATAAATAAACAGAGTTTTTAGGAAACAGTATAATAAAATAAGTTTACATTCAAAATCACAGTACATTCATTTTCTTAGTCAGTAAAAATATTCCTTGATTAAAAGGCAGTGTATTACAGCCTTGTTTTGTAAATGTATTTCAGGAAAATAGGTCTAGCAGTATTTGAAATACCACACTTTTTTCAAAAGAGCAGCAGAGCAGCAGAATTCAGTTTAAAAATAGTATATTGCAAAATATCTGAACATGTTATTTCTTTCTAAGTGCAAAGGCAGTTCCATTGTTAAAGATAATTTTAAATCTTATAAAGTAAACCGTTTTACTATTTTTGTAGTCTCTTCAAATCTAAATATCTACAATAAAATATAAATCTTTTACATTTATGGGACACAAACATCCAGACACAGACGTAACACAAATTCCTTGCAATGTTATTCTATTACAAAGCTTAAACATGAAGATGGGCACAAGCCACAGAATGAAAACAGGCTCCCCTGCTGAATTTGTGTAGCATTTAGCCAAAGCTCAAATACTTGTGCTTTGCAACAGCTGGGAAAATCCAAAACCAACTAAGGCAAATGTCATGGCTGCCTTAGGAGCAACACCACAAAGAGAAATATAAAGAAATGAAGAAACACTTGAATGAACATGTACCTTCACAGACCTCGGCTATCTGTGCAATATTTATTTCTATTTATGGGTGAGGAAAATTGTGTGGTAAACCACATTGCTCTCTATATGTAAGCCTAGGATGTCTCAAACTGCTCTTTGCTTTTAAGTGCATTTAAAAATAAGTGGTTGGTTGGTTTTTTCATATCCAGCAGAAAAAAAATGGCAAAGGGCTTCAAGATGCAGTGAGGAGAAGCTTTCCACAGAAATCAAAGTGCATCAAGTTTTAAAAGTGCTTCTTCCAAATGTGATCTTTTATGCAGCAATAAGGTAGTATTTAAAACAGGAGCGGACTCTCTATGTGATGCTTTGTCAGCAAATCTTGATAAGTGATTCAGAAGAATGCCAAGGATCCCTGCAGTACGGATGGTGCAGATGGCACAAGACTGGACGTCAGGAGGCCTGCTTTGTACTCCCTACTTTGCTACCAGCTGTAAGCCCATGGGGAAATTGCTTCATGTTTCTACGCCTCAGTTTCCTCATACATAAACTAAAAGGAATGGCCTAGACAAATCATGAGATCATTTCCAGTCTTAAAATTCTAGATTGCACATCTTCAGAGTGGGATTTCTTTGGAGGATCAGAGAGGGAATGGATGTTTTCACAATCAGTCACCTATAGCCATTTCTTAGCCCTTACTGGTGAAAGCGCAGAAAGGGATAACAATTCCCAAAACACTTTGAACAGCTAAAGGAATTATCAAAGTAATATGCTGCCCAAGACTTTTTAACAACAATAATCCAATCACATATGACAAAGTAAGACAGAACAAACAACAGAACACGTCAATTGGTCTCCTAATGGCATAATTTTATGGCATCCCAGAACCATACTGAGATCTAAAAGCTTTAAAAAATAAGTTCTCTTTAAATGATCTTAAGAGATTCATGATTCTTAAAAATTTCATACTCCTTTTGTGTAAAAGTTAATCTGTAAATTGTCTTAATGATACTATGAATATAGTCGTGTTATCAAAATGTTCATTAACAGCTAAGTAAATCAGCCATTTCCCATGCACTCACTATGTATTGGAGCCTCTAATGTGACACAGTCCCTACATATTTAATACACTAGAGGTCCTGAAGTTCAGCAGTCATCATCCACAAGCTTTGACCCATTAATCCCCCGATAGGTCACTCTGCTTGGCCGAACCAAAACTCCATGGTTTGGCTTACAGGTGAAATAACGTTTGTCCCCCACTGAACCATCATTCTTTCCCCTGGCACCTTTGAGTTCAAGTCCAAGCCAGGTGCCTGGGGCAAAGTCAGTGGGGCCCACATACCTAATAACGGCCATTTCATTAGAGCTGGTGAGCAGAACCTGAGAGCCCTGCTGCAGTTTCACAGCTCCTTCCACGCCTCCGGCAGCTGGAGTACTGCTCCAGCTTCGACGAAGTAAAGCACTTTTTGATCTATTCGGGGTTAAAAAATGTACATAATACATATATAAGTACTTAGCAACAATGACCATGCAATTTTTACATTGATTTTTAGTGGCAAACATAATTTTTAGGTCCAATATTTTTTTTAACAATTAAAATCTTGGCATGAAAATCCATAACTTAGTATGAAAATATATCTGCATGTTTTTAATTGTGGAAAATGTAATCTCTTCTGGCTTACCCAGTCTAACTTTAGATTCAAAATTTCACTCACAAGGCCTGATGGCAGCACTAATACCGTCACCAAGAAATATCACCAAACTATCATTTTGCAGAGACTACTTGCTAACTATTGTTTACAAAAATATCCATTATTTCTGCAGGGGTCAGGAGTAATGGTGAGGTAACAATAGGCATCTTTATATTTAAAGAAAGGCAGCTAGGTGGTGCAGTGGATAGAGCACCAGGCCTGAACTCAGGAAGACTCATCTTTATGAGTTCAAATCTGGCCTCAGACACTTACTAGCTGTGTGACCCTGAGGCAAGTCATTCAACTGTTTGCCTCAGTTTCCTCTTCTATAAAATGAGCTGGAGAAGAAAATAGTAAACCACTCCAGTATCTTTGCCCCTCTAAATGGGGTCATGAAGAGTCAGATGTAACTGAAACAACTGAACAACAAAATATCAAAAGAACACTGTCAGTGCTAGGGAGAAGGGAAGGACAGGATCTGGAACTCAAAATTTAAAAAAGAAAAGAATATTAAAAATATATTTTTAAAAGACTACTGTGATAAGCTTCTTGTAGGCACTCTATAGATTATTTCAAAAAAATTAAATTATTGTACCCAATAAGAATAATTGTTCAGTTAGGCTAGAAGAACACATTAAATATCAAAGATGCACTTAGTTTCTCTTCTCAAACTGTGAATTTTTCTCTGTAAATAGTATATGGAGATGAGACATGACAGCTCTATCACATACCTGTAAGTTTGTGCCTACAGAATAAAACACTTACCTTTCCTCTAAAAAAAAAGTTCAAATCTAAATGGAAAAAAGGGCTACTGAGAACGAAGTAGATCTAGGGAAGGTAGAGGGACTGAGATAAGTATAAGAGAAGAAATTCTCTGTTCAGAGAAACACTTAAAGCAGAATATTCCAGGGTATCTAGGTTATACCAAATAACAAAATAGCGTTTCATCTAGGCAAAGCAGTCTTAAATTCCTTTGATATACTTATGTTTGCATTCAACATGGAAAATACTAAATCAAAATTTCTAAATTAGTTACTAAAGCAGAATTGATTGGGAGAGAGGAGAATCCACCCAATTCAATCGTAACACAAAACATCAACTCCTTTTCACAGAATCTGTAGCCTTCAAAAAGAGAAAATGATAGATACACAGACATATATGTATATAAATATACACACAAACACACACATATATGTGATGTCAAAACATTAAAAGTTTTTTATAAGCATTTCACTATTAATGCAAGCATTACACATTTGCTCCTAAATGTTAAGAAATGCACCAAAGAATAAGACATAAAACAGTAGTCCTTTCATAACATTCCAAGTCATATTTATCTCAACTATCTATGTTTCTAAATAACTTGATACTCACTTTTCAAAAGCATTTCTTCTGTTTATCTCTTTCTGAGAAGATGCAGAAGTTGTGCTGAAACTTCGTCTAAAACCTAAGTAGGAAAATTAATGGTGGAATAAATGAAAAAAAAAACCCAACCCCAAACTTGTAGGCTTATTCAACCCCATATTCTGTCTCTACTTCTGCAGATGTTCCATTATACCAAATGTTTCTTTGGAAGCTGGAGTCAAAGGGAGAAAGCACACATATATATATATGGAACATAATTATAGCTTAGATTTCTTGAGAAAATTTTATCCAAAATTCAAATGATTTCTTATATCCTTATTAATCAAACTATATACATATAAGAATAAGACAACCATTTTTCCAGAGTGTCAGTTTTTTTTTTGAATTTTGCTGGAAGACATTGGATACTAAAAAAAAATTTCATAAAGACAACAAAATCACTCCATATAGTGATAAAGCTACCATTTTTCTACTGAATTTAATAGTTTTAATAAGCTACCAAAAAAATTAAAGACAAAACTCCAAGTGTACATATACTAAGAAAAAAGTAATGTTTATCACTAAAGACACCTAATTCTCTACACGTTCAAAGAAAATTAATGCCTTTATTATCACAAAAAGAAGCATGCATTGATGTCCTAACGATATACCTTTCAATTTTTGACTGTTGGAAGCTCCATCAATTGCTAGTTGAAGATAATAAAATAGCTTCCACACATAAAGTGAATCAAGGAAACTGTATATGTCTCTTTCCTTAAAACGCCTGGAGAGGAAGCAGTTAGTAATGCAACACAGAACTAGAGGTTTCTTTTTTTTTTAATTTTAATAAAATTCTTAGTCTTACCTGGAAAAGAATGATTTCGTTTACTTGATGCTTTCTCCGAAAGAGTATCTTTTAGTCTATTGGTAAAACAGACACACACACATCTCAGTACGACTATCTGGTGCTCAATGGTAATAAAGAACCTACTGATTTATGTATGATAAACTCATTTATTTGATACTGGTTTTCAATGGGAATATGACAACCATTGTGATATCAATTTCTATTCTCATAAAGCAATCCTCAAGCTGTCCCCAATTTGAAAATGATCTTCCCGTGTTTTCTTCAAAATCTTACTAACCTTTTATTCTGAAGGCCTTGGTCGCTTAAGTTTGAGTTCATTTGAATTTTAAACTCCTCAACAGCAGAGAACATCTGTTCTATTTGCTAAGGGACAGCCCAACACTGCACTATGTGAGGACTTAATATCATGGGGATGACAACAAACAACTGAGACATAACATAAAGAGTATAAAAAGTAGACCATTTAGAGATGGCTTCCTTTATTTTTAACAGAGGGCTGAACAGAAGGAGAAAGGTCAGAAACAAAAGAGATTTGTGTTTAATCAATAAATAATAGTTGAAATCATAAGAGGAAAAAGGTGACTTGGAATACAATATATATAACAAAGAGAGGAAGAAAGGAATGACAGAGAATTAGGGTCACTCACCAAATGAGAAATAACACAACGCAACAGACAGAAAACAACAGCTGGGTTGTCCCTTAGCCTCTGCCACTTACAAGTCATGTAACCTTGAGGGCAGTCTGTTAGCTCTCTACCTCTTGCTATCCTCAGCTATAAAGGAAGGACAATTCACTCCTCCCAGAATTTCATTGAGAATCCAATGAGATAATATACATAGATGTACTCTGAAAACCATTTTAAAAAAAGCTTTTCCTGAACCAGATGATCTCACCTAACTTTCTTATTGACTTTTTTCCTTCTTCTGAGATTTAATTCAACTTTTGTGATTATTACTAATAATATCTTAATGATACCATCATATACAGGTGAGTTTACACATGCGTACACATACACACACAATGCATAAATGTCATCACCATCATTACAATAGCTGAATAAGAAGTGAATCACAAAATATCAGAAAGGAAGGAAAAAACAACAAAAATAATAAGATTAATCAATTAATAAAGTTTTAAATCTAAAGTTTTATAATTTAGACAGAAAAAAACACTGTCTTTGGTTATAATTGTATTAATGAAGTGAAAAAAGTCATCATAAATGTTAAAAGGCAAAAAAAAATTAAGGGAAGGTAAGAAATTTATAGAAAAGAGATCGGGGTAACAGAAAAGAAAGTAATTGGGCAGTAAAAGGTTTGGAGTTTCATAATTTTAGGAGAGGGTATATATAAGCTATTAGAGCTTAAAGCTGCACTAAGACTTTTGGGACACACTGGGGACAAGAATTCCCTTACATATTTATAAAAATCATTTCAGAGATCTCTTCAAATAATTTTGAAACAAAAACAAGGTAAATGTCTCAACTTAATTTTTATTTAAAATAATAATAGCACCCACTTCCCATGGTTGTTGTAAAGATAAGTGGAGACAATATTTGTAAAGTGTTTTGTAAACGCTGAAGTGCCATTGTTATCAATATTAATACAATATGCGACCAGCATATCAGCATATACATCAATATCCAGTACAAGGTCCTCTCAAACTACAGTGCTCAATATACATCATACTCAGCTCAATCATCTGTTGAATGAATGAACTTATGTTCTTGTTGCCCAAATAACCAAGAGTAACCATTTTAAAACAAATAGTACTATTAAAAAAAATAAGGTATAAGTATAAAGAAAGTTGCCTTCCAAGTTTCCAAAAAAGGGAACCAAAAAACACAAGAAAATCTGAAATAATTTATCTGGAACCTATCTTGACAGTATCCATTTATACTACTGGAAAAAAGGTTATCTGAACTAGAAGAGGCTCACAGCTAGATAATGGCTGGAAGATATGCTCACATGCATGTACTTACATTATTCATGTTATTTTGTATTTAGAAATTATTATACCATTTCCCTTCCACTGAAAAGTGTACCAAGACAACATGCCTCTCAGCATATCAGCATATATGACAAGTCATCTCACATAATGGTGTCTAGAATTTGTAGAGGATTTGCTTCTGGTAAACTGATTTCCTAAAACCAAAGTGAACTAGGATGATTTTCAAAGTGTAATATCTTAACAAAAAACAGTGAGCTAATTTATTACACATAAAAAAAATCTTTGAAGCTCCACTTCCACCAAAGATCTACTGTCTATCTATTTTTGAGACCAAAAGGAATCAGAGGAAAAAGCCACTTTGGTTCCATTAGGTTTGTAAGAGAATGAATGGGGTGCCTGCTGGCAGGAAATGTAATGCAGTTAGGATGTGACTGAAGCAATCAGATAGCATTTTAACTTTTGTTTGCATGACAGATTAAGCTTGCTGCTCTCACTGTTCTTAGCTGCAATGCTACATCTAATAGCCTACACGTACTCATAGGGTATGCAAATGAGGAAGAGAGGATGTTTTTTTAAATTGCAAATACTCAGCAAAAGGAAATTTTGCTTTCCATGAGCCCTCCCTCTAAAGAAGGTAAATACTTAACTCCTTGGAAGAAGGAATGAACTGCATCCAATGCCCCACTATTAAAGGAAAAACTCTAACTGGAAGGAAAAACCAGTTAGAAAATCTGTACCTGGAAAAAACACACACACACACACACACACACACACATATATACATATATATATATATGTATGTATGTATTATATAAATATTCCATTTTTACCTCTGCACTCTAGTTGGGGGAGCAAATATTCCATATCTTGGTTGACAAGTAAAGTACTGCACACCTCCAACTGAACCGTCATTCTTGCCATAGGGCTTTTCAAGCTCAATGCCACACCAAATTCCTAGAATATGAACACAGAGTTTATGAAGCACCTGTACTGTCCCCATGACCAGTATATTAGTCCTAGGTCCAGTGCAACCAAAGATGTTCAGAAATGTAACATGGAGTATAGGCATTAAATTTTAAAATGATAAAAACTACATTGCACAAAGTGCTCAGAAACAATAACAATGTAATTTAATAAGCATAACTACAGGGTACATTAGGGAAGGAAAAATAAACCTGAGAAATAGATGTCTGGCAAGCACTAGCTCTATGTATGCAGGAGCCATAATAGATCAGCAAAGTGGAGAAGGCAAGCGTGATGTTGAAACCCCAAGGCTAAATCAAGGAGCTAGCCTTACAAAGAAAAGAAACCACTATCATCTTCTAATGTTGATTACTGTGTCTAGTTTCATGCTACCCAACTAAGATGGAGCATGTAGAACAGGAATGAGATGCTGGAGAAAGCCACCAAGATGTCTAGGGGGCTGGAAAGTGTGACAGAGAAGGGAATCACAGGAGGAAATCAGTTCCAGTCCAAGTACACAAAGAACATTCAGACAAGGTGGCAAACAACTGTTTTCTAAAATGATCCAAAACAGGAAAGGTAAGGTTAACTCGGGGAATAAAAGGATTTACTTTTGACATTATGAATTTTCCAGAAGGGTTTTAAGTGCTTGAAGGAAATTAAACCCAAGTTTATATTAGCAGATTTCTCATGGGGCAGCTAGCGGCACTGTGATAGAGTGCTAACTTACCAGCTGTGTGACCCTAGGAAAGTCTTCTAACCTCAAGAAGGAGAACACTAAGGGAGCCAAAATGTGAAGTTACTTTAAGATATAAAAGGAGGACTAGACAGAAATAGTATCTGGGTATCACCAGCTATGATAAATATAAAATTCAAATAAATGTCAGACCTCAATATTATAAGTTATCAAATTCATAAATCTATGTCTTCTCCCAGATGACCAATTTAAAGATTTAATCAGATAATAGAAAAGGTAATTCAGGGGATATTTTAGCATTTGTAAGTTGTTCTCTGTGTTCAAAGATGACATAACTTTCCACATTTGAGAATGCAGTGAAAAGACTAATGAATAAACTATTCTTTTCCTATGAACAAGCTATCCAATAACATGGAGCTACACAGCAGGGTAGATGGGCCATCATGGTTTTTAGCTCTACCATTTAATGTCTCACAAAAATAAGCCACCACATATTCCAAGCCAGGTGACTCTATCTGCCCCTGCTGTCTCCCCTAACACCTCAGCTATGCCGTATTATCTGAAGTTACATTTCATTGTGCTCTTAACACAGATTTGTCCTGTCTATACAATCCCCTAGGAGCTCGCCATGGAGTACAGCTCCCTGATCTGCTCCCATGAGAACCCCTGCACCTGTGCAACTTCAAAGGGCTGAGCAGGGACAAGCAACACCATGATGTTTCAGCAGGCTACAGACTACAGTCTCTCTGCTGATGGTCCCTACTTATCACTTGTTTACATGGTTCACAGATGACACAGACAAAACTGCTCAGAAAAAGATGGAACATATTGAATAGGTCAAGGTTTTATAGTCATACTGAAGGCCAGAAATCACATTGCTTGATAAGCTTTGTTTGTTCTGAAAACTGATGTTTTCCATTTCTATCTTTGTATCCTTATCACCTATCACACTATCTTACACAGAGAAGACATTAATAAATGTTTAATTGATTATAAATACCACACTCAACTACTCTTCCAAAAGGACTTTCCAGAAGGAGTAAAGAGAATACCAATGATACATGGCCTCAGCAGAAAACATCCTTTCTAGAAAGGCTAGTGTGTCTTTTCTAGACCTCAGTTTTCTTACTTGTGAAATGAAAGGGGATGGACTTAATGACCTCTAAAGTCCCTTCCAGCTCTAATGATCTATGACTAAGCTTTGCAAACTGTTATTTGCAAACTGTTAACATGAAAATACTAGCTGATCTCAATGATCACCTGAAGAATTGTGAAATAGAAGTAAATTCTACAAAAGAAATTAGCCTACAATCAACCTGAGGTACTACAATCAAAAGCAGACAGGTAGCCAGTAAGGGATAAAAGGAACAGAATATTATGTTTATTCCTCATCAATTTTTCAGTATGCATTTTCTTTTTGAAATATTGCAATGCCACCATGTGTCAAAATGACAATATTGCCACTTTAAATTTTCAGCAGAACTTCACTCAACATGGAAGTACTAAGCTTCCATTTGAAAAGTACAAAAATTCATCGTACATGAAAGGGCTTTGTAAAGCCCTTTAAAGCATTAAATAAATATACAACAGTATTAGTAATAGAAAAATGCAAAATAAAAGTCTCTTTTACATGAACACAAGATTAAGTCTATGTTTTTCCTTGACCTTATGAGAAGCCCAGAAATAAATATATGGACACATAAATGTTTAAATGAGTTGTGTATACACAAGCTTTTAGTTTGCTTTAGCATAACTTAATCAAGCAAAGTCACTCTTCTGTAAAAATAGGACTTTCTATTCTCTACAAGGAACCCTAAACAAAGTTATACAGTCAAGTCTTCATTGTCTGAGAGAAAATTATTCATTTTATAGATTATCCCAGGCAAAAACCATAATCCCAGCCTTATTTCTCTAACCCAACATGATCCTTGGCAGCAAACACTAAGTGTATGATCAGAGAATGCAGACTAAGGTTATCATTAGCCTAAGAGAAATATAACTGGAAAGATACATCTGTTGGGGAAAAGCAGAGAACATTATCAAAACAAAGATAAATGATTGGAAGATTCTCCACCATTACATACATTTGTTACTACTGCATCATCCACCAAGAAAGTTGTATGTAATTCAGTTTCACAGATGGGAGGTTCTTAAATTTCTTTTTCATGTAAAAAAAAAATGAATCAAGGTAAGCTACCTGGAGCAAAGTTTGTTGTTCCAAAGAACCTGACAGTGCCAATCCTCTGGCCTACCACCAGCACTCGGTCTCCAATGTGAACTTCTTCTTCCCGCTTATTTCCCACAGATATAGTTGAAGTAGTAGACCCTGCTTTGCCAATAAAATAATGAGTCATTATCAGTCCCGTTCTGGAGAGAAATAAACATGTTAGACAATGAACACAACCCTAATAAATGCCTCTAGAATCCCTGGTCTTGGCAGTACCACTTCTCCCTTCTTTGATCAATCCTCTACGCCTTAATATATAGTTTTTGGCTAGTTATTATGGATAAAATAATTACCATCTTGTGGCCAACCTAGAGATGAACTTTTCTGAATGTTCTAGACTAGTCTTTGAATGACAGGTGTAGACTGTAGACTGTGTATACAACCCCTTTCCAGCCTGGTAAGACTTACCAGAGCTTGAAGTCTGTGGACACGGCCGTGGAAAATTCAGAGGCAGCCCCATGCCACAACAAGGCATTCAAATAAGACATTAGCAGAGAAATGATGAGACATCACTTCTTTAAAAACCTGATACAAGCCTACACTTCAATAATGAAAGTCCTGTGCCAGATCCCAGGAAATAAGAGTACCACCACAAGCTGTCCTCGGCAGACATGTTAGGAGAATTGTGCTCAACTCTTGGTGCCATATTTTAAGAGGAACAATGACAAATGAGCATGTACAAAGGATGGAAACCAAGATGGTAAGGAGTGTGGAAACCACATGTGAAGAATAATGAAAGGAAATAGGAATATTTAGCCTGGAGATGAGAAGACAAAAGAGACAGATGGTAGCTGAAGAGATGTAGGCTAGATAACAGTATACATGGTTTTTGAATTGAACTGAATAAACAGACCCAAACAGTATAAGTGGTATAAAGTGGGGGGCCTGTAGGATCTCACCCTCAGCCATGTGCTAACAGCTTTGTCAATTACTTGAAGGAGTGAATAACTTGTACACCGATCAAATTTGCAGATGACACAAAACTGAGTAAGCTAACATGAGACACAATAGAATCCAGATCCAAAAATACCTTTATAGCCCAGCAAGATGAGTTAAATCTACTAAGATTAAATTTAACACATATGTTACACAAGCCTTACATTTGAACTCAAAAAATTAAACACAGAAGTAGAGGACATAAGAGGTGTATCTAGACAATAACTTCTATGAAAAAGATATAGATGAGAAAACACCCCCCCCATTCACTCCCTTGAAGAGGTGAGGGATTCCCAGAAGTGGAATACTGAATATATTGTCATATTTTGTATATGCTTATTGGTTTTATTTTTTCTCCTGGTTTTTTTAAATTACTTGTTATAAAGGATGTCTCTCATGGAGGAGAAGGGAGAGGAATACAGGGGAAATTTTAAATGTAAAGCCAAAAGCTATCAATAATTTTTTTTAAAAGGAAAAAGATCTGAGTATTTTTGTATAGGATCAGATCAACATAAATCAACAGTAGAATGTGAAAGCCAAAAACACCTAAGATAACATTCAGTTGCATAAAAAGAAGCACAAAGAAGCTGTAGTCCCACCATCCACCATCCTACTTAGATCACACCTAGAGTGCTGTGTTGAACACTCAAATGAGGGTCATGTTTTAGAACAAACCTCAGTGGGGCCAGAACAGGATGTTATGTGAGGAGATTATAAACCATGCCATAAAATGTTTAGGTGGAGGGTTCAGGCACCAGATTTAGCCTGGAGAAGACAAAATTTAGTGGGAATATGCTATCTATCCTCAAGGAATTGAAGGATTCCTGTGTGGAAGGGGGAATATGATCAAGTCTGCTTGGTCCCAGAAGCCAAAACTAGAAGCAATGGACCCAAGCTGCTCAACACAAGGCAAAATTTCTGAGAACCGTCCTCGAGTTACCCCAGGAGGTAGTGAGTCAACAGGCAGTCAGCGATGCCCGAGTAATTACTCTTCACATATGGTTGGACTAGATGATATCTGAAGATCATTTTATTTGCCCTACCAACTCTAAGGTTCTGGGCTTCTCCCCTTCATCTGGTTACTGCCTCACTTTCTAGTTTTATCTCCTGCTGTTCCTTTCCACGTGCCCTCCCTCCCCGCCCCACTCTACGGCAAGCTGTCTCCTATTCCTAGCAGCAGGGGTGGGGGTGGAGTGTTGTTCTCCCACATCTTCCTGCCACAGCCAGTCTCTGTGCCTTTGGCTCATGCTGTTCCCCATGCCTGGAATGGATTCTCCCTACTCATATCCGTCAGCACCTTTTAAAGGCCCTCCCCTTCATTCCAGCTTCACTTCCCACATCTGTAAAAGGGGAATGTTTTCACTCCCTGCCTCACTGAACTGTCGTAAGGAATGTGTTTTACACATTAAAACTCTCTATATGTGTGAGTTATTGTGTCTCTTAACTTTTACTGCACATTGCTCTCCGAAAAGATCGCCCTAACAATTTAACAGAGACTTTGTTTTCCCAGAAAATTCCATCAATATTAAGTCTAATGACTTTGGAGCCCTTATGGTAAGTGAAAAAACTCACTGCACTCAAAGTCAGGAGAAATGAGTTCAACCTCCAGCCCTTATACTTACTAGCTATGGGCAAGTCTCTTTACCTCAGTTTCCTCATTTGTCAAATGGGGATAATAATACTTTACTATCCACCTATCTCCATGAGGTTATCATGAGGAAAGCTCTAAAAAGCTCTTCATAAATGTGATCTACTATCATTAGTCCTTCAAAGGCCTACTCAGGCACCACCCACTTCCCTCCCCATGAGGCTTTCTAAAACATAGCTCTTTCAGCCACCCCCAACCCTGACAGCTGAAGATGTTTAGTACTCTTTCTGGCCTTCTCCTTTGCATTAATCACATTTTTACCTTGTACCATAGTATTTGTATATTATCTTCTCTACTCTATTAAATTGTAAATTCCTTGAGAGAGGAGCCTAATTTGAGCTCGTCTTTGTATTCTAGCCAGATACCTTATGTGTAGCAGGCATTTAAGGAATGAAATAATGACAGTGATAATGGAAGATGCTTCCCAACAAAGCAGTGAACTCCATTACTGGAAGTATACAAGCAGGGGCTGGACAATCATTTGGTGCAAAGGTTATAGAAAAATTGCCCAGTCAGCACAAATGTCCTCCGATGCCACTCCCACTTCTAAGTTCCTATGCTATTCTGTGACAAGGACACTGATTACAGGAAAAAAGCAAAAGCTGAGCCTAACGCACAACAATCAGGAGGAGCAGATTTTTCTCAAGTGACTATGAATCTAAGAGTCAAGATTGAAAAATATGCAAGTTCTGCAAGCAACACTTCCAACTACAAAGCAAACAATCATCTATACAGGTGCATGTCATACAAACACCTGTCAGTCACCAACTGGTCCTTTCAGCTATGCCCACAAAAACAGAGGGTAGTTGGGGGAAGTTTCTTCTTCAAACAGAAAAAGCCAGCAATATTTCCTGCTACACATTTAAAAAAATCTAAGTCCACCAAAACTGAGCCATGAGCAACCAAAAAATATTTTTAAAATTTTTTTTTTAAAAACACCAAGAAATCCAGGATGAAAAAGTCACAGGTACCAGCACTAGCTCTCGATGAAATGGAAGAACTTTTTATCGATGCCTCCTTATTACTGTTGGTTGGATTCCATTTCTTATGGTGAATCTGTTTGTTGTCCAGGGAGGATACAGAAGAGGAGGAACTGATAGATACAGGTGGAACAGCTGAAACAAAGAGAGAAGAATATCAAGAGGTGGTACAGAGATAACACAATAAGAGGAGCTTTCAAAGCTGACCCTGACTTCTGAAACATTCTCCTTGGCTTTCCAACAACTGGGTGAGATGGGGTGTGAAGCAGGGTGCAGTGAAGAGTCCTGAATGTGGATTCTGAAAACCTATGCTCTTCAAGGCTTTGATCTTCATATGTGATTCTCCTTTTTTAAATGGCAATAACTGCTACCCAACCCTATATCTCATCAGAATATTCATAGGATTTTTATGAGGACAAAATAAGAAAGTATATGAAAACACTGTCAGCTTTACAGCACAACAAAGATGCATGTCCTTTCTTAAGTGGACTGTGGCTGTCAGTTGTAAATAATGCATTTCACAAACAGAGCAAAAACAAATATTGCAAGCGTTTGCCATGGAAATGATAATACTATGAACTAGAAGAGATGGAGATGGTGTTTGCTCTGTGTAAGGGACTGAGCTGGTAGGATAAAAGTGACAAACACCAGATTAATATAATAAAGCATAAACATTTTGAAAACAGATTATTAATGTTACCTTCCTTCCCAGGTACAGTTTTCAATCCTTCACCAGGAGACAATAAAGATGTTGATTCAGAACCACCCTCTTTTTTGGACGTTGTTAATCCTGGGGTAAAAAAGCAACATTTTTTCAGAAAACAGGAAAAGATTTCTAAATAGTTTGGAGTTGAAAAAACACAAACAAGCCTTGAATAAAAATAATAAGCCTGGTTGCTTTTTTAAAGTACTGTACTGGTCACTAATATTTGAAAATAGAGATAGGAAATGTCTGTTTATGAAAAAAATCTGTTTTTAAAAACACTTTTATGGTCACATATTACAATCCCAAAGCATTTCCCTTCCCCATGTCTTACATTCTTAGCTCAAAATCCAAATTATCAAAGTATCATAAAAGCATTTTTAGAACAACTTTATAGAACCAAGTGATTCAGTTAAGTATTTTAAACACTGACTCCTAAAGACCTGCATTCTTTTCTTTCTGAAGTCTGCCAATTACCAAGTTTCACATAAATCAACTTTCAGGTCAGGGAAAACCATTTTATTGAATCTCAGCATTTTGGAGTTGTCAGATCATCCTGCCCACCTAAGTGAGAAGTGAGTTCCATCTGATTCAAACTTTCATGGCCTTCAGCCTTCTGATAGAGGAGGCTGCTGGTGGCACAGAGGATACAATGCTGTGACACCTGGAGTCAGGAAGACATGGGTCTAAATCCAGCCTCAGACACTTGGTAGCTATGTGACCCTAGGCAAGCCACTTAACTTCTGATTTCCTTATTTTCCCCAACTGTAAAATGGAGTAATAACAGCACCTACCTCCTAGGGTTATAGTGAGAATCAAATGAGATAATATGTGTAAAGCACATAGCAGGCATTTAATATATACTGACTGACTCAGATTCCTCAACCGTAGAATGGGGATAATAGTAGCACCTACCTCCCACGGTTGGTGTGTAAATTGCTTAGCACAGTAGCTGGCAAATGGTAGGTGCCACATAAATGCTTATTACATGATGTACTTTTTTTTTTGCAATTGGGGTTAAGTGACTTGCCCAGGGTCACACAGCTAGTAAGTGTCAAGTGTTTGGTCTGAGGCCAGATTTGAACTCAGATCCTCCTGACTTCAGGGCCAGTGATCTATCTACTGCGCCACCTAGCCACCCCCATGATACACTTTCATACTCCATTTTGTACTGTATTTATTTGTGAAAACAACCATTTACACCCTTCCCCCAACAATACTGTAAATTCCTTGGGGACAGACATCACATCATAATCATCTATGCAGACCTACAATGCCAAACAAAATGTCTTAGACATAGAAGTCACTCAGTAAACGGTTTAACATCACCACTGAAGCCAATGTAAGACAACACCTTCCTAGAGCATCCTTGATATATGGTTCTCTAGGCTTTTCAAGGATAACTGCAGTGATGGGAAGCTCACTATCTAACAAGTCAAACATTCCATTACTAGCTAATAAAAGTTCTTTCTTAAGTTATAAAGATATAGAGCATTCATTAAGCATTCACTAAACATCAGGCACAGTGCTAAGCAGTGGGGACACACATACAAGGCAGTTCCTAACCTAAAAGAGCTTATTACATCCTGAAAAAATACATAAAGGAGTATATATCCCTTTAAGTAGGGTGAGCTCTTTAAGAAGGGGAGGAGAGAAGAAGGTGGCCGGTACCTCCTTCGGTGAATGGCAAGGAGACTTTGGGAAGTTAAGGCCAAAAACATGTTTTCTTGTAATGTCCACCCATCATTTCTAGTACTGCCCTCTGGCATGAGAAAGAAATATTTTATTCTTGCCTTCTAGGTATAAGTCCTTTAAATGTTTTAAAGTTATATGACCTGAATATAAGTCCTAATTCTGACATACATTAATTGTATCACTGGACAAGTGATACAATTAAACCTCTTAGAGCCTAATTTTTATCATCTAAAATACGGGATAATAGTTTGTGCATAACATAAAAGCAAAAATTAAAATTCCATCCCACAACCATACCAGTTCTGCTCTTCTAGTAGCTCTCTAGCTTTCAGTGTTATTTTATGATAAACAACGAATATGAAGAATTCAGAGAAGTATGCAAAGACTTATATGAGATGATACAAAGTAAAGTAAGTAGAACAAGGAAAACAATATTTATATATATATATATATACACATATATATTTATACACACACACACACACACACACACACACACACACACAATATATGTATCAACAGAACAGCAACAAATTAAAAGAATCCTAAACACTGCACCTGACCTATAATGACCAAGCTTGACCCCAAAGAAGAAATGAAAAAATTCACAACTGTCCCTTCTTTGCAGAGGGGGGAAGCCATGGATGTAGAACAATGCATATACTATCAAACTTGGATAATACGTTGGTTAGTTTAAATAAACTGTGTTTTTCCCCTCTTTCTTTTATTATTGTTATTACAAGGAAGGACTACATTTGGAAATGAATTTAATGTAAAAAAATTATGCCAGTAAAAATATCTTAAATAAATATGAAGGATGGCTCACAAGTTCTCTTTAAAAAAGCCACTAAAGGAGTTGACAGAATTAGTTTTATTATGCATCCAGAGGCAACAAAAAACATCAGTTCATGGGGCATTTCATCATCTCATGAGAAGTATTTAACAAAAGACCACCATGAAAAGACCACAATGAAGGAGAGGGAAAGGGTTAAGTATTTATCTAACACCTACCATGTGTCAGTCACTGTGCCAAGCACTTTACAAATATTATCTTAATTGATCCTTACAACAACCCTGGGAGGTGGATACTATTACTATCCCCCTTTTACAGACTAGGAAACTGAGGCAAACAGAGGCTAAGTGAAAATAATTGCCAATATCTATTACAGATGAGGAGAAAGTAGAGAAACAAAAAAAAAAGTTTTCTCCCAATAACTGAATGAATTTCAGATTCCTTCGATGTAGGTATTCTTTCTAACACAGTAGTTCCCAACCCCTCCATTCCCACCCATCCTGTGTGCCTCTTGTCCAGGTCCTCCTCTAAGTCTGCCACAGTGTGCCCACCAAATACTTTTGAGGGAGGGGATTTATTTTTTCTCCCTTGACACTTCCTTGAGAAGACCTTCCAAATTAGATCAATATATGTTATTTTAATGCAAAAGTGGACAGATGGGAAGATGGAAAAATTACTAGAAAAATATGGGTCAGGAATAATAAATGAGAAACACTGGTAGAGGAAGGGCTTCCCTTTCTCACAAGAGTTGCAGAGAAGACCAACATCATACACAACAGACGCAATGAGTTCAAAATGGACACATTGTTTTGACTTATAAGAGGCCACACACGATAAAAAAAAAAAATTAGAAGAGAACAAAATCAGGTACCTTTGACTTCTTAACCAAACATGAGAAAGGGGTGATTATAAAAGATACAGATGACAATTCTCATCACATCAAATTTTCAAAGTTTCTGCACAAATAGTATCAAAGAATACAGAAGTAGAAGAGAAACCAGAGAATGGAAAGGATAAAGGCTGTGCCAAAAATCTTAATGTAGTTTTAAGCTGTTTGATAGCTTAATAGCTTTAAAGTACACTAAGGTTTTTGGCACATTCTGTATTTGCAGCAAATATTGCCAATAAAATTCTGATATCCAAAATATACAAGGAATTGACACAAATATAGACCATCAAGACACTTTTCTCAACAGATAAGTGGACAAAGTATATAAACAGTTTCTAAGAGAACTGCACAAATAATAAATGACCACATGAAAATGTACTCCAAACTGCTAATAATAAGAAAAACGCATGCTAAAACAATCCTGAAGTTTTGCCTCATGCTATGAAAATGGGCATACATGATCATAGATGGGGACAGTAAATTCTAGAAGGGCGATGGAAAGACCAGTACTGTTATGTACTCATTGTGGAGCTGTGAACTGGTCCAACACTTCCGAATTTCAATATGAAATTTTGCAAGACAAGTGACTATTGAATCCCTTTTTATGCACTGATCTCACTACAGGGCATTATACTCCATGGATTTCAAACCAGAAACAAAGATTCACTACTTATGAAAAGATTGACAGCAGTCCTCTTTGTGGTAGCAAAGACCTGGAAGCAAGGGGCATTCATTAATTGGGGAATGGCTGAAAAACTTTTGATAGATAAATATAACAGAATCTTACTGTGAAATAAGGAATTACAAATATGAGAAACTCAAAGAGAAATACAGGAAGATTTATATGAACTAATGCAAAGAGAAATAAGCAAAATAAAGAGAACATAAATTTTAGAAGTCACCAAAAGGAAATCAAACTTTAAGAAACAAAAATCAACGAAGTCTCTTGAATGAATTGAATGGATGAATAAATTAATCAAAAAAGCAATTATTAAGCACTTACAATGTACAACGTACTGTACTAATCACTGGGGACACAAATAAAAAAGACAGTCCCTTGCTCTCAAAGACCCAATATTCTAAAAAAGAGAGACAACACACATAAAAAATTTCAACCACAAAGTCTCACGGTAATGCTGCCTCTTCTCATCAGTCTCCGATGCTGAACCACATGACAGCATCAAGGATTTTAGTGGCAAGAGCTTTCTTTTCTAGGTCTCGAGTATCTGGGGTAAGAGCAGTTGCCAGGTTGTGTCTATGCTGGGGTTACTTCACTGGATGACGGCTGTGAGGGCTGAGCTGGAAGGATGGAGGGCAGGAGGACTTTCTGTTTATATGCCAGCTGGCTAGCACTTGCTGGTGGTAGTGCAGGAGATGGGCCTATTCTCCACAATCATTTTTCTTCTCAGTGATGGCCATGGGCCCAGGATTGAAGCATGTTTGGAGCTCTTGGGCTCAGTCAGGATCCTGGGCTCTTTATCAGGCGCTAAAGGGAGATGGGGTCAGGGTGGTGGGGGTGCCTGGCACACGCTGCCTCCTGGTTGTCCCTCAGAGTGCCTTGCTACTTCAGATAATAAGATATATCTTTCCCTCCTCTCTACCCCCAACACAGCAGAGAGGTGGGAGATTCCATGGCCAGAATATTGTACACAGGGTCAGATATACTCCCTATATGGAATGTTTTTGACTGTTTTTATTTGTTACAAGGGA